ATTCCACCTTGCTGCTACGAAGTGTACAGCACAATTGGTGAAGGAACTACTTCAGCGTGCTGCGCTAGATATCGCTCGAGGCAAATATAGACCGATATGGCAGCAGGAGTTCACAATCCAGAACTCCTAGTGCACAAGATCTAGTCCAAGATCTTAGATAAGGACACCAAGTTCTGTTATAGGTAGTGGGGTACATAGTCTGGTTACAAACTAGCGGTGGGGACCTTTATTTATAGGCTCTGGAAGCCTTCACATCTCAACTTCTACTTATAGCTAGAACACTCTAGAAAACATTACTTAACATACAATATTCCACCCATAGCTAGAAGACTCTAGAGAACAGTAGCTGAAGCTAAGAAAACAAGCTAGTACTAGATTGGAGTAGAAGTATCTAGAGGTAGTCAAATGGATTTCACTTCTGATTTTATTTTTATTTTCCTTCTCTATTGTTCCTCATCAGTGGGGCGATTGCGCTAGTTTAGGTGCAATAACTCAGTTTGAACGAGGGTCCTTAAATCCAAAAAAAATCATGTCGAAGGGAACTAATAAAAGACGAAACTGTTGCGTGACTTTTGTTCCATTGTCTTAGAGCCCAAGGGTCAACTCTTGTATATCAATGGGAAAACCGAAGATGAAGTTGCCAGGAGCTTGGAAAGAGTTCTACTCACTATGCGGATAACTTCTTCTGAACCTAAGGTTAGTTAACTTGTTGTAGGTAAAAATAATTAGTACCCTGAATGTCTTTCGGTGAAATAACACCCTGAAGAAATTTATTATATTCCCTTCATGTCACAATTCATGTCGTTTTGGATGTTGGCAGGGTCTCCAAGGCTACACTTTGCCCATCGGTTTCTGTTAAATTTGTTCCTTCAAATAAAATTATTTTTACAGTATGAAAGTATATTTTATGGTGGTTCTAGTCTTATCAATTTGGTATTGGAGATGTTGGCAAAACTTTCTATTTGATGGTCAAACACTCAATATGTTTACCTAATGACATGTATGTGACACGGAGGGGGTATTCATCTTGTGTTTAATTTGTTGACAAACACTCGATATGTTTAACTAATGACATGTATGTGACACGGATGGGGTATTCATCTTTTGTTTAATTTGTTGATGTAGTTTTTTGCTTGGAGCAGGAGTTAGCGTTTGTTGTGGATGGATGGGCTCTTGAAATTATTCTAACACGCTACAAGGAAGCTTTTACGGAACTAGCAGTTCTTTCAAAGACAGCAATATGCTGTCGTGTTACACCTTCACAGAAAGCACAGGTAATTTTTTGCTGCTGGAATTTTCATGTTTACCTGAGCCAGATATATAATCACTATTGGCCATTTGACTAATAGACCTAATAAGTAAAAAAAATGCAATATATCAATTGTGTCATGTCCTTTCTAAATGAAAAATGGAAAAGAAGAGAGAGAGAATCAACTGGTGGATCTCCATGTCTTTGTTTTGAGGAGGAGGCTACGCAATTACCTCCTTATTGTCTAGCACTGAGCAATTATTTCATGTGTTCTAGTATATCACCCACAGCCAGTAATTTGTTCTGTAAGAAGCAGATCAATGTGCACGATCACTCATAATATATCCATCTGTAATCTACCTGGGCCCTATTTTTCCTATTCAATATTCTGCATATTCGCCCAGATTTTTTCTCCATGTGTTGATCATCTTTCATTTCTGGGTAGCTTGTCAAGCTCCTAAAGTCATGTGACTATCGAACTTTGGCAATTGGCGATGGTGGGAATGATGTCAGGATGATACAGCAGGCTCACATCGGTGTAGGGATTAGTGGTAGAGAAGGTCTTCAAGCAGCAAGGGCTGCTGACTATAGCATCGGCAGTAAGTCGTCTTCATATTTGACCTTCATGTTCTCACTATTTTTACATTGATTACATTATTGCTTTGTAGAATTTTCACCTCATCTCGTTTCTATACAAAAAACAATCTACCATGTGTCGTCATTTTTTCTTCATTCTTCTGGATAATAAATTGATTCAACAAATGCACTAACCAAATGCCATTGGACCTTGGTGTTGTGATTGTGCCCATTATGTCCACTTTTTAAATTTTTGTCCATGCAAGTAATGAAATGAGTCCTACATGCAAATTAATAATGAAATGAGCCCCCCGCGGCCGTTTTTCGAGCATTTCGT